ACAAGTCCTCGACTGGTATTGGACACGAACCAGCGAGCCCTACATCTTTGTAGAGACACACTTGGACCCACAAAAGCATGAACAAACATGCCAGTACTACACCATCAGGGGCAGAACAGCCTTTGGTGTACCAGCGTGGCCCAATGCAGACAACACCGGCACACATGGGGGGATCCTGGTCCTTGGAGATCCTTCTAGCGGCCTTACGCCAATTGAAGCCTACTCACTCCAAGGATGTGGGTTTCAAGCATTCCTCTGGCAGGCCACGACGCAGACCATACTGGTGATTGGACTCTACCTCCGCACCAACGAAAGCATCCAGAGTGAGACCAATGCCACCATCATCTCCAAACTCTTAGCAGTCCTGCAGGCCACCACACATCCCTACATTGTCATCGGGGACTGGCAGAATAAGCCAAGTACCATCTCAAGCACTGTCTTGCCATCAAAGTTCCACTTCGACATACTTGCTCCTGATGTGAGTATGTTGTCCGGAAGTGTCATAGACTTCAGTCTGGTTCACACAGCTCTGTCCGGAACTACCACTCTGACTACAGAATGGGCAGTCCCCTGGCGACCGCATGCGCTGCTGACGCTCCACCTGGACATTGAGGCAGCCACCAAAGACTACAGGCAGGTCCAATATTTTCCCACTTTGCCAGCGGTCCCGGACATCGACTTTCGTCCATGGTCCACCTTCAGGACTCAAGCCTTTGAGCTATGCCTCTATGACATTCCAGTCAACAAAACAGCGCAACAGTGGGCAGACTGGATTTCGATCACTGAACAGTACTTGTTGCAGGAGCATCCATGGGCTGCTCAAGGCAGAGGAAGCAACCTCAGGGTCACCATCAAGCCTCTGGCAGCACCAAAAACCGGAGGCACATGGAAAAAGGGCAAGGCTGCCTTTTGGGAACAGCTCCAAGCCAGGTTCCGGCTGGCACAACAACAACCACAGACCCAACCTGGCGGACCCACCAAAGTTTTCATGACAGCCATCAAGGACATCCAGACCAAGTGGCTCGGACCTCCAACCTGGGGTCAATTCCTGGACACATGCCACCACTGGCACCAGTACAAGGATGAACGTGCAGCTGACCTCATCAACCACACGATCCAGCACCAGCTTCAAGAAGCCAAGCAAGCAGCCACGAGGAGGTTCACCTCCAGTACAAAACCTGGCTGACACAGGGCCATGCCAAAGGGCTCAAAGGCCTTTTCAGAAGCCTTAAGAGCAGTGAAATACCATGGAAGCGACCTTACAGAAACATAGAAGCTGATCAACGGATGACCCAACGGCTGGCAGACTGGAGCGAGTTATGGCAGATCAGACAAGACAACCAACCTGTCCCTAGAACCAGCCTACAACACCAAGCAATGCAGCAGGCCAAAGGCCTCAAGGCCATCACCATCGGACAATTGGCACATGCCATCAAGAAGCTTCCAGATCGAGCGAGTGGACCTGATGCGGTCTCAGCCCAACTCCTCCGCACGGCACCGCCACAGGCTCTGGGTCCACTACTTCAGCTCATCCATGACATGGAAAGCACCGCCCAGTTGCCAACGCAACTTCAGATGCATATGGTGGTCATGCTGCCCAAAAATCCCACCATCGAGCGGCCCATCACCTTGAGATCCACACTGTATCGCCTTTGGTGCAGGCTCAGGAAGTCGTTGCTGGACACGTGGCAACATGAACTGCCTGACTTTATGAACCACGACCGTGCCAGGCCAGGAGCCAATGTCCTGCAGGTTGCTCTGGAAAGGCTACTAAGGCAGGAAGTGGTCCGAGCTAACCAGCAGCATGGAGTCACTGTTCTCATGGACCTGTCAACCTTTTATGACACCATCCAGCTTCATCAACTTCAAGAACAAGCTCAGGCCATACACTATCCACCCTTGATGTTGGAGATGGCCATGCAAGTGTACACAGGGCCCAAAGCCATCGTTGCAGAGCAGGAGATGACCCCTTTCTTCCATGTCAACTGCGGGGTCCCAGCTGGATGTCCGCAAGCACCACTCCTGGCAAAGGCAGTCCTCACACCCGCCCTGGCGCCATGGCACGCACAACACCAGCACATACATCTCTCCAGCTGGGTTGATGACATTGGCTTTGACACAGCTGGCAAGGACCCCCAACGAGTTGCACGCCAGGCAGTTGAGGCATACAGGGATCTACGCGAGAAGCTCACGACGGTTGGACTCAAAGTCAGTGCAAAGAAAACAGCCTTCATTGGCACGGACAAGCATGTCAATCAAGCACTGAAGAAGCTTCTCACTGATGATGAACCACCAGTAGTACCGGTCATGAGGGATCTGGGCATCGATCACCAGGCTGGACGAGCCAGACGCATCCCCGTCATGAAGCAGCGCATGCAAAAAGCCACACAGAGAAGAATCAAGCTCGGGAACCTGAAGATCCCGGCAATCCGTGTGCGCCTGAGGCTCCATCGAGGTGGCATTCAACCAGTTGCCATCTGGGGCGTCGAAAGTCAGGGACTTGCTCCTCGATGTCGCATGGCCCTCAGGCACGCACTGGCCAAGCAGCTAGGGCACCACAATGGAGGCATCCTGGACGTCACCTATGACATCCACAGCAACCGGTATGTTGATCCAGGAGACCAAATCATAATACACCACGTCCGTGCCATGCACCAGCTCATCCACGCATGGCCACCGGAACAGCTGCCACAACTGCAACAAGCATGGCAGAACACCCATGCAAGCCTCCAGAGCAAGCAGTACCCTTGGTACACTGTCAAGGGCCCCATGGCTGCCACCATAGCCTACATGACCGAGTGGGGATGGGATGTACAAGACCTCCAACACTGGACAAGAGCTGAGACAACCTACATGCTAGCCAGTGAGGTTCATCTCCAAGAACCGTGGTGGAAACTGGAACACCTGTTCACTCAAGAAGCCAAACAGCAGCGCACCAACAGATTTGCTCAGAGACCACACCACCAACAGCTCACTGGCCTTGACTGGCACACATACCGCCAGCTACGTCCCAAGTTGCCTGCGCAGCAGAAGAGGCACCTCCAAACCTGGGTTCAAGGAGCACTGCACTACAAAGAAGGCGCTTCCACCAAGCCATGCCCCCTGTGTCATGTCCCAGCCACAGCAGAACATGTACTTTGGTTATGCAAGTGGCACAGAGACAAGCAACACAAACCACTGCCACCAGAATGGCTGGATGCGCGCCCACTCGAACCCCAGGACCACTTGCGCAACCACCACCCGTACCGAGGCCATGGCATTTGGCACGACCTCCAACCCATTGGACCGGACCAGTATGCAGGCCTGGCATACACTCTTGATGCCACGCCCTCCCATTATGACACAAGAAGTCAAATATGGGTTTTCGGACTTTGTCTGCGCAGCCAGTCCATGGGACAACTGAAAATGGCGCCAGGACCCCAGACCAAAGGCAGGGCCCTCTTTGCGGGACTTGTTGCCCTAGCAAAACACACGACAACACCTGCCAAGGTGATTGTACAGCTCAGCACGGTCTGGGAGGCCTGGCAGCAAGCACCACATCGGCGTCCGTATCCAGACCTCCTAACGGACAGACCGCAAACGCATCACAGTCCTTTACATCAGCCGCAATACCAGGACACCTGAGGCACCTGGAAATGAACCCCACCTCCGGAGACGCCAACGAGATGCAGCATTGACGGCATGGGAGAGAGCTGATGCTCTTCACAACCGCAAACAAACCGAATGGCAAGCCACCCTTGACCGGGATCACAGGGCCATCTACACACATGCCGTCCAAAGGCTGGAAAAGATCTTCGAGGACAAACAACACTACTTGCGCAACAAAGTGGCCAGACACCCGGCCCAACAAACCAAGCAAAAGAAGAAAGACCTCATCCAGCAGTGCACCCGACCATGGCAAGAGCCCCATCACCGATGGATCCCACACCGGAGTGGGTATGCCTGCAACACACGCGGGGCCAGAATGCACCAAGCACTCACAGCACAACAGCTTGAGGACCGTCTTGCAGAAGCTTGTCTCCAACAGCAAGCTGACATGGATTGCCAACCACCCAGTCAAGAGGCATGTGCGCCCAGCAAGAAGCTGACCAGACTGCAGATCATCCGCAACCTCCTCAAAGACCAAGAGGACAAGCCACCTGAGCAAGATCAACGCATGCTTGAAGAAATCAAAGGCTATCTCAGGTGCAAGAAGTGCGGCACAAGCATTCACAAACGCACCAACGAGCAGGCCTTCACGGACTACATTAACAGTCCCTGTTTGGATTGCCCCTACGAAGACCAGCATGGTGGACACCACACCCATCAACTCTGGCGTAAAGGCAACCGGATCCACTGCAAACAATGTGGATTGCAGCTGCATCTAGACAGCAGTCAGCGGATCATCAGCACTGCCAACTTCCTCAAAGAGTGCAAAGGAGCTGGCGCAAAGAGTTCACCACCAATCCAGACCTACTTCAAGCCCACTCCTCCCACACCTGCAGGGGGAGATAGCAGCGAGAAGCAGGTCAGTGAGACCGGGACACCAAAGACAACAGTTGGACCCAGGCCAAAAAGGCTTCACTTCCCAACATCTCACCGAGAGAGAAGATGAACCCTCTCCTGCACAGGCCATGACACCCAGCCTACCGGCAGGAGAGAGAAAGCAAGCCACAAGCTGTCCACCTGCCGCAGAGCAACCCACAGCCAGAGCCACAGGCAGCCAGGAACAAACAGAAGAGGAAAGCCTGACTGACGATGGCATGGAGGTTGACTACTTCTGACCGGAGATCTCCTGAGCAGACTGCGGCCACCCTGAGGCGAAAAGCCTAGCTCGCAAACCGGCCAAAAGGCCCCGACAAGCCACTCTAGAAGAAAAAATACATACATACATACATACATACATACATACATACATACATACATACAGACTACTCTATATATATACATCATGGATCATTATGGAGACATGGTATACGAGCTTTTCTGAAATCCTAAGTCTCAGCTGGAGCTCTTGGAAGGTGCTTCGCCAGGCACACGAGTCTTTGGCATGCCTGACATTACGCCGTTTGCGTGCTGGGCTATTGGAGGCTCAGTTGAGTGTTCGTTCAGAAAGAGTGGAGGTCGATAGAGAACTTGATGGTGTTCTTCCGCACCAGTACGCTGGCAGTGAAAAGGTACTCAGACCTCTCACTTCATGTGAGCATGCAGGTTTTGCCTTTGAGCCGTGCCAAGCCGTTAGAGGCTTCACAGGTGCGGGTACGAACACCACGCATACTACTGTTTGGACAATGCTATTTTTTACATATATAGTCATTTGGACCATAGAAAGTGGAGGTGTTGTAAATGAAGGGCTCAGAGGCCACCACTTTAAGAGTTGCATCTGCCTTGAATGCAAGTCTCCTAAAGGGTTTTGTCTCCTGGAAGAACTCACGATTGCCCATGTAGGCCACCTCGAAGGGCGTTAAAATGTAACAAGACCACAGCGCATTCTCCACATCCTGATGGGAGCCATGTTCCGTGAGCGCCGTTGTGCCCGTGGGTTTCCCCGCTGCAGCAGTCAAAGAAAGAGGAAAAAAAGGGGAGCACTCCCATCCGTCAGATCCAGTAAGCAGCGGCAGCCATCCACGTGAAGAACAACTCAGAAACCACACAAGACATAGCGCACCAAGACATCTGCATAGCGGCCACATGCGGCCATCATGGAGACGACGGTAATGACGAGCATCAAGACCACATGGTGAAGTCAGCAGTGCACTTCTTTATGCTAGCATCCAAGCAAGCCACCACTCCGAGGCTCACCCAGTCATACGTGTGAGTAGGTCCACCCTAGATCATACTACTCTGAAGAGCACCCAGCACAGCCACGGTTCAGGTCGCCTCGACGGCCAAGGAGAGGTCATCGTGGAAGCACTGTCGGTCTTGCACAAGGGACAAAAACCACAAACAGGTCCAAGGACTCGTTGATCTGTAAAAAGAGGGAAGCGTTGATCTGTAAAAAGAGGGAAGCGATAGAGAGAAGCAGAATTAATGAAGAGACAAATAAAAGACGACGTAGAGGTGCTGCAGCAGTCCCAAAGGACCCTGGCTATGCGCGACAAAACTGGAGGAGCAGTCTGTCAGTCTGTACAAAGTAGCGCCCTCAACAGGATAAGAATTTTATGCCACCGGAGCGCAGCAAAGGTCAATGAGCTCACCCCGCGACACATGCCCACCAACCTGGAAAAGCCACTGCTTAGTCGTGTGAGACGAGGCATCGTCATAAGGAAGGAGATATCTCACACAATTCTCTCCCCAGCTCGTAGAGCTGCAGTGATGTGGAGTGGAAGAACTCACCGTTGCTGTCATGGGTTTCAGAGCCTTGCCTGTCCTGTGCAGTTGGAGCTTCTACCAGATGGGCGCCCGTGATGGTCTCAGAAGACTCCAACCAACTTGTTTGGACGTGATAATCGGACATGTTCGATCAGTAGATGTATCACGCATTTTTGAACAACGAAGACTTGTGGGACTTGAACATCTGAAAGCGGGCAGGCTTCGATGTTTGCTTAGGGGCTGCCAGGCAAGACTGATTGTTGAAGTCTTGTGCATGCCTTGCAGCTGTTCCAAGTTTAAGAGCTCTGCATTTTCAGCTTCCAGATTTTTGTAGGTCTACATCGATCTTGACTCTCTTGGTCGACTTGTGCTCTCAACCTCAGAGTATTCTGAGCTCCTCCCCAAGGCGCAGGATTAACTCCTTGCGACATGATAAGTGCGTTCTAGTATGGTGAGTGCCAGGTGGCCGGTGGCTTGTCGCCCAGATACATTCTTTCTCAGACTTGACTAGGCTTTCCTTGGTATTTGATTTGCTTGGCACACAACTGAGGCCAAGAAGCCTTTATTCTTCGGCTAGAGGCAAGGGCTGGTTGCTCTACCAATGAACCTGTGCTTTCTTTTGTCTGTTGAAGAGGCAGTGCGATTAGCTTCCTTGACAGCAGCTGCTGAAGGGGTTCTTGCTGATGCCGGATGGCGCCGCCGTTGCCTCAGCTTCGCTGCCATTGCACACTCTCCCTGAACATCTAGGTTGGAGGCCATCGCTACTGGTATTAACTTGGTATTATATAGGTTGGGAGGCCATCGCTAGTAGTTGGAGGCCATCGCTAGTCGCTATTAGGCCATCGCTAGGTTGGAGGCCATGGCTTTTAGGTTGGAGGCCATTGCTAGTAGTTAGAGGCCATCACTAGTAGGTTGGAGGCCATCGCTATTAGGTTGGAGGCCATCGCAAGTAGTTGGAGGCCGTCGCTATTAGGTTGGAGAGGGCGTCGCTATTAGGTTGGAGGCCATAGCTAGTAGTTGGAGGCCATCGCTATTAGGAACCCCATGAATAGCGTAACAGCTACTGGATGGCTTAGTAGTAGCGCCCTGCCTACTTAATAGCTTACTAGCTAAGCTTAAGTAGCAACTAGCTTACTGCCTTACTTAACTATAAATAGGGAGGGGGGAGCCGGCTAAAAGAACAAAAAAAGAACAGGTCACCACATGAGTGTCCTGAGGAGTTGTGCCGCCTGAACCACCGCCTCGTCACGAAAATTTTCGATGCCACTTTGGCGAGACACCTCTGGGTGGAGCAGTGGCAGTGGAGTTTGATCTTGCAGACACGGAGCCTTGGGCTTTAACTTTCACATTTTAAAGTTTGATTGATGCCTTGTGATTTAGTGGATTCTGCATTGGATAACCTGCTATGCCCTACACGTGGACTGATGCCTTGAGGAGGTAGCAAACCTGCGGTTGCTTCTGGAGGCAGGTTGGTTCAGCCTCTTGATATTTGCGCTTCTGTGGCTGCTTGCAGGATGGCAGTCGAATCGATGTTGTGAGCATGGACAACTTTTGCTTCGCACAGACAGGAAGTGATTCCATAAGCGAAACAACTATCAGTTCTCGACTTACATTGACATGAGTCAATGCACGGTGAATCTTGAAGGAGACCACGCACTCCCTTTGCTGCGAAGTGGCTTGAGGATTTGCCTTGCTGAGTTGGTGACAGGTCAAACATGCAGACCGGTTATTGACAGGACATTCTTTTTGTTGTGAATTTGATACCGCAATCTACCACCAAAGCCAGGAAACGGCTCTCCATCGCACAGCGGCTGCTGGAGACAAATCAGCTGAGTTGTGAGGCATCATTGAATTGAAACTATTTGAATCCATTTGAGCTGTTCTGCGTCTCATTGAAAGGTGAAGAACCAGAACCAGTGAAAAATTTTTTGTCCAGCCTCTCTTAATTGAGGTCCTGCCTACTCTGGCACGGCATGCCAAGCTGCTTCAGGTCCCCCCGAAAGAGAGAAATGCATGCGATAGTGCGCAAGGGTGAGAGAATCATCAAGGGACCTTGCAAAGGCTGTGTACAATGATGTTTCCAGGCTGGTTCCATTCAGCTGCGTTTCAATGGAGAAGCGGATGGCGCTGAGCCGGTTGAGCGGAGAACTTGGCTGAGTCCGTTGAGTGGAGCCGTGATGCCTCGGTTCCAAAATGGTTTCAAGGCTTGAGCTGAATTTTTGCGAGGCCAAAACGGTGATTGAGGAAACGGAAGAACGGACGTTGAAAAGATGATGGTTGACAAGGAAGAAGACATGAGTCTTTCATTGTGTTCTGGATTTTGTGCAGTACAGTGCACTGCTGTGCTCTGCAATCATTCAGGCATCGGGTAGCAGCAGCGGCAATGAACCATCTCTTTTCGAGCCTCCACTGCGGTGCAAGGCACCGCAACCTGCGGCGAAGCATTCTGCATACTCCATTGGTCATTCCATCGTTGAAATTGATGTAAGTCTGAACTCACAACAATCAAAGCAGAATTACTGAGTATATAATGACATTATATGACATGTTTTTTGAATCTCATGCTCGTCATTAGCAACCCCGTCGCACTTTTGTCGAAGCCAAAGGTGCACAGATCTCAGTGGTCTTTGTGGGGTAAGTTGCGAAGTCCGGTGCAGCACTCAGAAGGTGGTGCCAAATGGCAGCCAAAGATACGAAAGGTGACGTTGTGTTGGATTGGGAACCGTGCAACAACAGAGTGCTGCTAGTTTGGGCTCAAGAATTACTCTGGCTGGGCTCACATTGGGTGCCAAGAGCCATCTCCGGCCGCAGTTCGACTGGACATGAATTGTCCTATGTTCCCAACCGAAAACGTCTCAGTGTTTTGGTATGTTTATGTATGTTTTAAGTTTTAAGTTTCACATGCCATATAAGGCTATATACATGTTCTTTTGTTTTGGCCAATTCCCGACCATTCCAATTCGCTCATTGCTCTTTTGGGCAAAGGCACAGGCGAGACGTAAATCGTAGATGGTCTGATGGCCGGAGTAAAGAGGTCGTCATTTTGCATGGCACAATGCTAATCAGCAAAGTACTGTGAGACCTTTTGATCAGAGCCAGAGAACAGTGATAGAAAAGTTCACAGTTCAAAGTAGCAATGCGAAGAGAGAATTCACTAGGAAGATAGGCCATGAACAGACTGGAGGCACAATTGCACTTTTCAAATTTTAAGCCTTTGTCAGCTTTCTGCATGTTCGACCAGGATATGTTCACTTTGACCGCTTTGGTATTGCAGAGCTCTTCAGGCGACGCAGGGGATATATACTCACTCCGCAGCCTCACGGGAGAAAACCTGAACAACGCACACAACTCAACCTGTTTATTGCAGATGGAACCGAGAATCAAGACCTACAAGGGACGGGATACACGAATGGACATTTGGTGCAACATGTTGCAGCTTGGGACCAGAATTCATTCCATTTGTTTGTTGGCAATAAGAACTAGGCAGGCTCTTGAGTTAGCCTGGGGACAAGGAAATGGCATCTCACTCAAACAGTAGAGGATAGAACATGCTGACATGAAATTATATCACAATTCTGCAATTACTCGTTGAGACTTTCACACTTTTTGGCATGTCCACATGGCAGCTTGGCTCCAGATGAGGAACTTTCGAACGTATGTTGATATAGCGCGGAACAGTAAAAGAGCCGAACTTTGGTTAGTTCTACCGTTCTACCCAAGAAGACTAAAATATAACAGCTCTCTGTCCCTGACCAAAAAAGATCTGTGACAGAGTAGCACATGCAGAGATTCAGACATTCAATTGTTGACTCTTCGTCGACCGTGACTTTCGCTTGCCCTGGCATGGCGGATGAACTTGCACGCCATTCACCCTTACAGCGGCTTGGAGAAATGCATTCGCCAAACGGGCACTGCAGACAACATCTGATATTCTGCAGGGTGGGTTCAGGTTCTGTATATTCAATAGATGTTTGCAGCTTCTCTTGGCTTTCAAAGTAATTTGCAATTGATTGTTTGAGATGCTCGCATTGACATTCAGGTGCTTGGGTTGGCTGTGCAATCAGCTTTGTGGGGTTGCCGCGGAGCGTCGTGCCGCTTCGCGTGTGACTTGCCTACGGAGTTTCAGTTTCATCTTAGAAAAGATCAAGCTGCTTTGCTCCAAAGTCACGATTCAGGGCTATTTGAGACGCACACACACAAACACCCATATTGAACCTGTTGAGGGTGCCAATTGACCAGAGGTGCTAACTCGTGCACGCGAGCAATGTGTGCAGCTGCGGGTGGGGGAGCCCTCGCGCTGTGCTGCTCTGGTGCACAAACTTGCCCAGGACTACTAGATTCCGGATGATTCCGGTATAGATGTTGGGCGGGGGAATGCTTGCGCGCTTGTTTTCTGTTTGAAGAGGAAAACAATGACGATTTGCCGCTTCAGCATCTACGTGCAGCCGAGCAGCACTTGGCTGCTCTGGAGCGCTGGCTGCGAGGTGAAGGCAACGAACTTCCAGTGAAACTAAACAGTTCTTCACTGGACACCGAACAACTTGAGACTCCTGGAGTATTTTCCCTCTGTAATAAAACACAGTTTCATCACGTTTCGGTTTCATCGTGTTCAACTCTCTTGGGCCAAGTTCCTCGCTGCAGGCAACGAGGAGAGTGGGGCACGTGCAGAACGCATCGCTCGAGAACTCGGGCTTGAAAGTTTGGGAAGCGGACCTGGCGCCAGCACCTGAGAGCGATGAAATCATTGGATTCTCGTGCCGCCCAAAGGTGCTGAACTTGCAAAAGAAGGGCCAAAACTGAGCAACGCTGCAACGCTCATATCGCCAGTTTTTGCAAGGCAGACGAGTTTGGAAGGATTTTCTCAGACGTGGCCGGCGAGATTCTCATCCAGTCTTTGCCTGGATCTGTCAAAGTGCGCAACTTCCGGCATCCAGGCCTGGTTCAGCTGGCCGCGTCAGTGTCAGCAGTCCAAAGCATGCAGTTGGCAAGTTGCCATTGCCGGTGTGTTGTGTTCGTGCAGGTAAAGTCTTCATCACCAACACCCGCTTGTGCTTCTACTCCTATGTCCTTGGAGTTGAGGTCTCCTTTGCAGCCAAGTGGATAGAAATTGCAAGCATCTTGTTCTTGATCGGCTAATGTTGTCGGACCATTTGTAGAGTTGGATATATATATATATATATATATACATATGCAGCTGCACACATATGTGATTGGTATTTGTAATTTCACTCTGAGAACTGCGCGCTTCTTCTCAGGCTTGAGATTAGAAGAGAATTCTGAATCCCATACATACCCAGTGGTGGTGTCCCTCAAAGAGGCTATGGACTTCGATGGCAAGGCCACACAATCAGTTAGTGCGATTTCGAGCGTTGTATTTTGTTATGTTACTGTATGTTTGATTTGGTTGTTTGATCAGGATGTGAAGATGCTGGATTTGCGAGTCTTTGAGTTCTCTGATTTGGGAATATTCCAAAAAAGTGCAATGTACTTTGCTGCTTGGCTCAAATCCAAAAACATATGGTGCCAGACTGACTGAATGGAAGATTGTAGGAGACACAGAGTGGGCTCAGTCCAACACGAGGAAGCCCGGTTTAATGGTCAGGGCAATTCAGTTTCCAAGGTTGGTGCGGATCTCTTCGGCATCTACGAGGAATCTGAAGTAAAGAGTCCCGAGAAGAGTCCAATGGAGAAGTCGGTCAAGGAAGTTCCGACCTCTACAAGGCTCGTGCGGACTGCCTCCATGATTTCGCCCGATGAAGTGCCTTAGATTCGGTTCCATTTTCTCACTTGTCACAATATTCCAGGTATCCTCAAATCATGTTCTCACATGCTCCCAACATTTTTTTGTCAAAGTGTATCTGAGGTGCTGAAGGAGTTGTCGATGTGGGAACTTGAAAGACGCACAAATCTCTTCAAGTCTCATTGGAAAGCGCCGTATTGGCCACATGATGGTGCGGCCAAGATGAAATGGGTCGCCTTGGAAGGCAATGCTTACATACGCCATCCCTTCATCCCTGTGAGCATGGCAGAGGAGAAGATTGCCGTTGCTGGGCAAAAAGAGGGGAGTAGAGCAATACATAGAAAGAGAGGAGAGGAAAGGACAGGAGTGGAGAGGAGTTGAGAAGAGTGGGGAGATAATGTCATTTGAGTGAGTTCTCATGCAATTCAAAGCGTGTTCAACTAACACAATATCGCTTGATTTGATTCGAGGTGAGTGACATTCCTCCGGTCGAGTCTGTCGAGTTTTTGGGGATGCGCCGGAATTGCACGTGGAGCGACATTACTTGCACAATCAAACATGCTTGCACTGTGGAAAGTGGAGCGCCCATCCGAACACCTTTGCTGGCAGGAGTACATGTCCTGTTGATGGTGAGACTGATGAACTTGGGTGGCAGTACTCCACTGACTTTGCTCCTTTTTGAAATTTACTAGTTTTGCTCTTGTGGGGCCCTTCAGCTCTTCCCTCTTTTTGACTCTGTTCACTGGAGCTCCTAAGGTTATGGGCAACACGGGATGGCTGCCTTATTGTGGATCCGTGAGCTTTGTACGGCGAAGGTGTTGGCAGCCGTGCTTCTACACGGATGCTGATGATGACGCAGCCGCTGCAGCTCTTGACAGAGCACCCATCTCACTGATACAGAACAAGGCAAGCTGCCCATGCTTCATGTCTTGGGACTTGGGTGTTTAGGTGTTCAGGACTTTTTTGATATTATTTGGGAATTGGAAGGACAGCAGATCGCCTGAGCAGCTTTCCTTTCTGCGTAGGCTCCGGCAACTGCAAAAGAGACCATCTTCGAGCAGGTTCTTGGTGAAATCTCTCTGGAGCTTCTCGGCCAGTCATTGGAAAGTGATGATTGGAAAGATCCAGATTCCTTGATGGCCTTCTACTGGGAGGACAGGAGAATATGTGCCTTGAATGGTTTCAAAGCTTAGGATGCGCTTATCACTGGAGTCAGTCTCTCAAATCTGAAAAAGGTTTCGGCAGATGTTGTGTCTCTTCCTTGAAAAGAACCACCCTTCCAATGAATGCACCAGCTATCACATAGCCAGAGTGATTTTGTCATCATTGCAAGGAGACCAGCGTGCAAACACACACTCGAGATACTGCGTACTGAATTGAAAGCCATTCGCCACACGGCAACCTAGGTAACCCGGAAGCGACGACAGGACGAAATGACAACGGTCGTTCGCATCTGCAGAGTATAGGCCCAAAGCTCAAAGTTAAAGTACAAGAAGAAATGTGATGAAGAACCGCTGCAATGGCCAAAGTCTCGTTCTAGCTACGAACGGGACCAAGTAGGGAGTGAGAAGTCAAAACTGCAGGTACAAGAATGTGCGTCCACATTCCCTTCTGGCTGAATCCCATAGCTTCGTTGGCATGGCTAGGGAAACAGCTGCCATGCCCGTGCCCCCTGCAAAATCAACAGATTATCAGGAAGTCTGCGGAGATGTCGGCTGGACTCCGCCAGGCAAGACTTCCCGTCCGAGCGGAATCAAGCGACCCTCACCAACTCCTGAAGGTCGTGACACCCGTACTCGTCTCTGAAGGACCTTGCAAGTGCCTTTTATACTTTTTTTTGTCCACCGAAGCTGGTTGCCCCTGGTCCCGTCCAGGGAAGAGCGGTCTCGCCCGCTGAAAAGATGTCCTTGC